GCTTCTACCATGGTTCTCAATTGATCTTTATTTAAAACAGATTTGGATCTCCCTCCAGCCTCATTTTTCAGACTCATATCCCCAGAATAAAATTTTTCACACCACCACCGTATAGTCCTTTCACTAGCAGAGCCTTCTCCAAAGACAGAATTGATGTTTCTACTTGGTGTGGTTGCACTATGTCCTAGTTTAAATTCATATAAAAACAGTATTCACAAATATTTCAAAGATATGGTACTGTTCACTTCTGTAAAAGGTGATGATTTCTCTGAGTGTTTTACTTTTAGAAGTTTCATGTTAAGAAATACATAAGCACAGGGACAAGATTTACATGCAGCAGGAACCTGTTGGTCGCACTAGGTGCATGACTTGGTGACCATCTTCACTTTCTTGTGCAAGTTGAGGACTTGCTCCTCTCTAGCAGCCATGGCAGCTCGGGCTCCTCTAAGCCCAGCTAGTGTTGTTCTAAATTCTTGTTTAGATACATTGCTTATATCTGTTTGGAGCAAATTCCTGGCTGTGATTTCTTCTTGATCTTTCTTTTGGAGAGATTTCCTCCATCTTATCATTATGTCTAGGTTTCTGTCTTTTGCATTTTGAAAGCTTGTTATGTTTCCTGTTCCTTAGAGTAGTACTATAATTAAGAAGGGGTCATACATTGTCTAGGGCCTGGTGCTTCAGGAAGTGTTTCCGGTGTATGCTGTGTGCACTCAGCTGTTGTGTTTTGGCTGCTATCTCCCACAGGTCAGTCCTCTGCACAGAGTTCCTCCTTGCTTGCAGTGGGGAGTGTTTGGGCTTTTGTCTAGGTGTGCTTTTATTTGTTTGTTAAGATAAGTCTGATTTAAAAAAAGAAGAAGAGAAGAAGAAGAAGCCTGATCCAAGAAAAGAGTAAAGGAAAAGGAACAAAAAAGCAAACAAACAAAAAACTATAAGCCTGGCTCCAAAGAAAAAGAAAGAAGGAATAAAGAAAGAAAAGAAGCCTGAGGGCGCCTGGGTGGCTCAGTTGGTTAAGCGACTGCCTTCGGCTCAGGTCATGATCCTGGAGTCCCAGGGTCACGTCCTGTATCGGGCTCCCTGCTCAGCGGGGAGTCTGCTTCTCCCTCTGACCCTACCCCCTCTCGTGCACTCTCTCTCTCACTGTCTCTCTCTCAAATAAATAAATCAAGTCTTTAAAAAAAAAAAAAAGAATCCTGATCCAAAAAATGAAAAAAGTCAATAAACAAAGCAACAATTGAACAAAAAACTATAAGCCTGTTTTGAAAGAAAATAAGAAAATAAAGTAAAATAAATTTAAAAAATTTTTTAAATAATTGAAAAAACGAAAGTCTAGTCCTATTTCCACCAGAACTGAAGCTGATGCTTTGGAACACTCTGTGATCAGTAGATCTGGTACATGCAGGGGACCTGTGTTGGTCTTCTGAGGGAGAGGCCAGCTGTGCTGGCTCACAGTCAGACCTGCCCTAGTATAGATGCCCCGGCCTGGTGCAGGCACATGGGGTTTGGCGTAAGCAACTCCAGCCTCCACTGGAAGTGCTGTGTTTTTCTCTCTGAAGTCCAGCCTTGCTGGTGGGGGCGGGGGTGGAAAATGGTGGGGTAATTCACAGCTGCTGCGTTCAGGAGGCCCTCACAGAAAAGTGAACAATCTCCCTTCCTTTGTTCCAGGCTTTTGTCAGATCCCTGCCTTCAGCCTGTGTCTGGACCGTCAGCACTGCTGGCACTTCTGTGTTTTATCTCTGGCCAGTGGCTGGGATTCACAATTCCAAATCTTAAATGACCTGGCAAGGCGCAGACCCACTGCCCTGTCCTGGAGGAGAGCCTTACAGCGCTGCGCCCAGCACCATTCTGCCCCATAAAAACAGTCCCATGGCTGCACAGGTGCCTGGAGTCTATGGTGAAGCGCAGCAAAAAGTTGTCCCCTGCTGTTTAATGGCCGCTGTGTGGCGCCTGGTGGGCCTTTTGTCCCTGGAGAGGCAATATACACTCTTCCAAATGTACTACTGCAAGGAGGGGAGCATTCTCTCTCACTGTGACCCAGGGGATCCCCACACCACAGTGTTTTGCAGGAACCCTACGCGTTGTTCTCTCTCCGCTCTCTCCCTCTCTCCTTGACTTCCGCTCCCTGAAAAGGCCTTCCTCCCCTCTGAGGCACTGCAGCTTTTCTTTCTCAGTTCATGTCTCAGAACCTCGCATCTGCCACGTTCTCTTCCTCCAGTTGTGCAGATTGTTTTCTTAATCCTTAGATCGATTTCCTAGTTGTTCAAAATGATTTGATGTTGATCTAGCTATATTCAAGGGACGAGGCAAGCTTGGGGTCCCCCTACCACTCTGCCATCATAACTCTCTGGGTGGTATCTTCTAATTGACCAGATTTGTTGGGCAAATGAGATAAAAGCTACTTGCTAGCGTATTCTACCTAGACTTCTCAGTATTCTATTACCTTGCCGCCCAGTACAAGAAATACAAATACTGTGTTTGTGGAATGCTCTTGGTAATTTGATTAGGCTGGCATCAGAGAGCTGTGTCATGCTATACGTTACCTTAGAGTTGCTTAACTTTTTGAATTAGCCTGCTTTCTGGTTACAAGAGTTAGCTGCTTTCCTTGAACCCCTTTTCCATGTAGATGGTATATATGAAAATTATTTCTGAGGAGAATTTAGTTTTTTCTCTTAAAATCTTAAAATAACATTGTTGTTGATTGTTTGGTTTGTTTTCAAGAAAACTGTCCCAAAATCCAGGGGTATCTTAGACTGTATTAATATATCTGTTGTGTTTAAAAACAAGGAAGCAGATAGTCCTAATCAGTTTTACACTTGTCAGACCACTCAGAGTAATGCACTGAGTGTAGGACACTGTATTTTATGAGATAAAGATGGTGCAGACTCCTGTCTATTTTATATGGCCACAGATGAATAATCTAGACATGCTTATCCTGGAAAAGAGAAACCTCAGCAGAAATCAGTTACTGTCTTCATGTATTAGGTGGTCTATTTATGGAAGGGAATTGTATGTCGTTTCAGAGGTCAAAAATAAGACCAACGGCTAGAAAGTTGTTAATTCAGTGAAATGTTCTTTGATAAAGGGCTCTGTAATCAAATAATTATGACAAATGTACGTATCATATTCCTGTTCTGGAAGTTTGCACATATAGATTAAATATATGTTAAGGCCCCTAAAAAGTCATGCAGTAAAAGATCTTGTTAAATTTGTTAATACCAGAACTGGTTTTCTAAGGAGCTCACATTTAGGTAGTGGTTCTCAAACTGTGGTAGTTAGACCAGCAGCACCAGCATTACCTGGAAACTTATTAGAAATGCATCTTCGGGGCACCTGGGTGGCCCATTTGTTAAGCGTCTGCCTTCGGCTCAGGTCATGATCCCAGGGTCCTGGGATTAAGCCCCGCGTTGAGCTCCCTGCTCAGTGGGAAGCCTGCTTCTCCCTCTCCCACTCCCCCTGCTTGGGTTCCCTTTCTCGTTGTCTCTCTCTCTGTCAAATAAATAAATAAAATCTTAAAAAAAAAAAAAAAAGAAGAAGAAATGCATCTTCTTAGCTCTACCCCAGACCTATAGAATCAGAAACTCTGGGAGCTGGGCCCAGTAACCTCAGTGATAATAAATCCTCAAGGGGATTCTGATGCTGCAACTGTGAGAAGTACTGCTAGAAAATTTCATTTTTTTTTTTCCCAACTCAACAGCACCCTTTTCATTTCTTTTGTACTACTTGTCACAATTTTTATTTTTTACAATTTCTTCTAATGATATTCTTTGACTCTTAGCTCATTTTTTTATAGATGGTTATCCCTCTGAGGTATAGAAGGAAGGAAACTCTTATGAAAGGCCTACCATAGTTTTCATCCTAATGTAGGTGCCATCCAGGTGGTATCAATTTGGATACTATAAAGAATCCTAAGTAATGAATCCATATCTTCTGTGAAGTGAAATATTCATTTCTATAATGAAGTAAACCTTAAATTCATTGCTATTGTTGCCATTTTTTTAAAAGAGCACTTACTGTTTTTCATTTACTTTAAAATGTTCTTTGTAAAATGTAGACTTTTCTTTAACATCTTAAAAGGATCTGTAATGTGCCCTTTCTTATGTTAGAAGTCAATAAAATTAGAGATTTTTCTGATTTCCTTGCATTAGCAGAGATTAAATTCTTGTAGCATTGTATTTATCTATACAAAAAAGTATGAATGACACTTTTAGAAAAATGAAATTGTAGTTTAAAATGAATCTGTATGTAAAATTAAAAATGATTCCCTGTAAGTGTGCCTATAACTAGTGCCTTATTTATTTTATGGGTATCATAAATGTGCATTTTGAGTGTTTATATGAAATGCCTCTATAAGTCATATGGAAGAATTTTATTTTTCTGTAGGACAGTGAAATTGGGTTGATATATTAAAATATCACAATATATTTAACCTAGGTGTATTTAGGACAAAATTATTAGTGTTCCTTGGAATGAGTTATGGCCAAACTCATCTTAATTTCTTGATACTGTCTTGTCAACTCTTCTTTTCATAGAAGTAAGGGTTCCCTGGGTTTATATTACTAGGTCAGTTGGAGCTTTATTTATTTTTATTCAGGGGGACAAAGACTGGTAGTCTGGAGACTGGATTTTGATTTGGTTGCTGGTGTCCAACAGCAGAATGCCTGGAGGCATCCACTTGTAACATTGAGTATAAGTGGTGGAATCATTATTACTATATTTAAATACCGATAGTTGGCAGGAATATGCTAAAGTCTGAATCTAACCGTGAATTTTGTCCCTGTTCCTGCCCAGGGCAACTGCTACTGAAAAGACATGCTCATATGAGGAGGAAGACAGCAGAGGTGGTGGTTTGGAGCTAAATGTTAGTTTGTTGCTGACTCAGGGGAAGAGGTGTAGGATGTTGGCTGTGTTTTCTAAAGAGCACCTAGCAGTTTTCACCTTGTGTATTAAGCTTCTGCATGTTTTTCAAATTATAACTTTATGCTTATGATTTTATATCTTCTTAGTTTTCCTCACAGGAGAAAAAGCCAATTCAGTATTGAAACGCTATCCAAGAGCAAATGGACTTTTTGAAGAGATAAGACAGGGCAACATTGATCGTGAATGCAAAGAAGAAATCTGCACATTTGAAGAAGCAAGAGAAGCTTTTGAAAATACTGAGAAAACTGTAAGTATATTGGCAATTTTTAAGAAACGTTCACAGTTTTGCCTACCTTTTGGATGTATGTTTGCAATCTGCATTCCCAAATTGTGTGCATTGTTATCAGTTACAAATGGATCACAAATTACATTTGTGAAGAACTCTGGAAGTGGCATCTAACTAAGAATACTCTGTGGATAGGAGAGCCAGGTTCACTTCCCCGTCTATGAGGGCCCTGTTTCCACCGGACTCTGCTGAGCCGAGACTGATCATCCTAGCAAGGGGAAAGCACTTGTTTCACAGGAGGCTCTGATGGGGAAAGTTATAAATACCATCACCTTACTCTGCCTCATCAGTGAGAAAGTGTGGAGAAACCTAATAGATATTGACACTGTTTTAAAATCGTTTACTTCTTGTACAAAAGACATATCCATATTTGAACTCTCCTCCGCACTCTAAGAATACTCCTTAACCTCTCTTTACTCTAGATGGCAAGCCATTCAAGGAGAGCAGGGTTGGGAAAGCAAAAGGCAGTGGTATAAATTCTGTGGAACTGCTCTGCAGTTGGAGATGACATTACCAGGGGTAGCCATTATAGAAAGTTCCATTTCTGTGCACCGACCATGGAAATAACACTAGGTGCTAAACAAGTGATGTCAGATGTGCTAGAAGACAAACAAATAAAGCCTCAAAAGCACCAGAGAAAGAAGTCACAAAAAAAGGGGTGAGTGTACAGGCCAATAAAGATGTCAAAACACAAATCACGAGGCAGAAAAGCGACCAAATGACCAAACCAAGCCTAACCGAAGTTGTATGCTAAAGAGAAAAAAGAGCCATAAATAAAACAGACTTAAATGAAAGTGAAAACCTGAACAAACTAGAAAAAATACCACGAAACCGTAAAAGAAAAAAATGCACAAAGTTTCTAAAAAAAAAACAAAACCTGGACATTCAGATCGCGGATTGACTCACTAGTTAAAGATTGAATATAGTGGAAAGAAAGAAAAAGAGACAGCGACACAGGGAAAAAAAGCAGGCCAAAGACCAGAGCGAAAAAAATCCCTCTTTGCTTCAGTGATTTTAGTTACCCTTATGCATCTCAGTGCTTCTATATATCCATTCCTGCCCACAGAGATAGGATGCTGCATTTCAGCAGTCTTTGAAGCAAATAGAAGAAGAAACTCCTTCAGCAATTGCTTAAGCAGTTCTCTGCCCTCCCCAGCATCACCTTTTCTTCTCTGTAGATTCATTCTCATTAGTCTACACACCTTTGAAAAGAACTCTCTTCACCCCTCATCCCGCTCCAACAACTACCTCACGTCTTGAAACTCTGTTCTGTCTGTACTCAACTCCCCTGGTGAGGTTTCCTAGTGTCATGGTTTGAAATGCTAACGACTCCCAAATTTTTATCCTGGAGGGCCACCCTGCACTGCAGAGCTATGTGACTCACTGCTTACTCAGAATCTCCTCTTGGAATTGAATATGTTTTTTAAACTCAACATAAAAAATTCATTCCCTTCCCCCCAAATCTGCTTCTACCACAGCCCTTCTGATCTGAGTGAGTGGTAACTCTATCCATCTCTTTGCCAAGCCCCCAAACCTTGTTGTTATCCCTGACTTTTCTCTTTGTTTCATATGCGCATCCCATCTGCCGATAGTGTTGGTTCTAACATGAAAATACATTCAGAATCTAACCACCTTTCACATCTCTTTACTTGTTAACACTTCACATCCAAGCCACCATCACTCTCTTATCTGTATGATTTCTTACCCCCCTCCCCATAGCTGATTCTCAAAACAGCAGGCCAGAGTGATCCTTTAAAGTGTCTTCTCTGTAATGTCTTCCTCACTTAACATCAGAGTGCTCAGAGTCACCCACAAGGCACTATACTGGCAGTCCCAGGCCCTCTCCTCTCCACTCCTTCGCATCTCCTCTGCTGCTTTGCCTCTCGTTCACTTTGCTGTGGCTTTCTTGTGACTCCTTAGAAATACACAGTGCACGTCCTGCCGGTGTAGTCACAGTGCATGACTTCGGCTCTTTGCTTTTCCAGACAGATATGTCTGAGCTCCCTCACCACTCTGAGGTCAAGTTCACTTTCTCAGCAAGAACGAATCTTACCTTAACTTGTAACCTCTTGCCCCTTCTCTGAATTATTTTTCTTTCCGGCACTTCTCACCATCTGACATCTGTTAATTTTATTTATTGTTGCTCTCCCTCGAGAACTATTAGCTCTACGACAGCTGCATTGCTTGGTCATAGCTACGGTCCTTAGCATATAAAACAGTGCTGGCACATAATAGGAATTAATTAAATATTTGATGCATGAATGAAGAATGAACGACTGGATTGGCATATTATGAGGTACGTTTATTTCATAGGAAGTAGTGATTTAAAACTTATTCACAAATTAGATGATAGATGTGGACTTAATTTTAAAAACTTTTTTATTATTATACTGGTATTAGGTTCCTTTCCTTTATGGTTTAGAGCTTGTCATCTGCGTTAGTTTATGTCGTTAAAACCATACCATTCACAGTAAGGTGTGCCCAAAGTCTTTTGGTTTAATAAGTGTAGTAGAAATAGCATTCTGATCCCTGATCTGTTTCAGAATAGTGTTTGTTATATGTTAAGAAGGATCTGCTCTGTGTTAAGAAGTACTGAACAACAGTTTCATCTTTGAAGTTCATGACTGATTAATTCTGGCAGTGAAGAAAATGATTGACTTTTGGGATTTGCTTTCTGTACTTAGACTACTTATTAACTATCTTTTTGTTTACTAAAATTTATCGCTCAGGTTTATTCGTACATATTTTCACCATCCCCCAATCTGAACTGTGTTAATTTAGAAGTATGCTTTCAGTAGGATGGGTTGGGGTTTGTTTTTTTTTTTTTTGTAATTTTTTACCTAATTGGAACACAAGTCTAATTATAACATATAGTGGAAGAAAACGTAGTTCATGGTTCTCATTCTCATCATATAGAAATTTGGTCAGATTTAATCAGATTTATCTGCTAAGTACCTGCTATATAACAGACATGGGACATAAAACAGTGAATAAGCTGACCCTCCATCATGGCATTTGAGATATGATAGAGACAACATACATACACACAGAATCTCACATACGCAGTAGTTTCCAGAATTCTGTGTCACAATCCTCTGCCTTGAGAATGACCAGTGGACCTGATTTGGTGTCTCAACTCTGCCACCTACTGACTATATTGCTTTGTGCAAACATTTTACCTTTCTAGGCATCAATTTCTGTATCTTTTAAAAAGTAGAAATTATACCTACAGCATTAGGTTTGAGGCTGTGCACTTAGCTTAGTGCTTGGCATAGAGGATGCTCTCAATAAATAAATTCTGTTCTAGTTTTTAGGTGCTCCATTACAGTCACTTTATTTAGGAATCATTATTTGATCTCTTCCGTTATTTTCTTTTTTCCTCTCTATTGGCGCATCAGGGTGCTTTGCATGTTAGAATTTTAAATTTTGAACTAACATGAATAAAATATAAGTAATTTTTTAAAGCAGCTATTTCAGAACTTTTCTTCACGTTTTCTAGTTTGTTTGTGCTTGACTTTTCAAAATGGTTGTCCTCAAACTTTACTAGATTGCATAAGAATCAGGTTGGCTACTTGTCAGAACTGCATATTTCCACTTAGCATCTAGATCTGGGTTTCTAATACTATTCGACAGTAAAAGGAACCATGACTATTTAGGGAAATGGCTGATTCTAGGGCTAGGGCAGGGAGAATATAAGATGAACTGGAGTATACTGCAGTACTAGAAAGTGAGGAAGTACTAAAAACAAAGAATGGGAGCATGTCACTGGGACACAGGAGCCAACCTGAAGGAGGTCTCAGTGGTCAAAGCTGGAACAATTTGAGTCACAGAATAAGTAATGCAGTATTGGATTATAACCCAAAGCATACAGTAAATACACATGTGTTCACAATGATATGAATGAATGAATGAAAAATAAATAGCTGAGAAAAATATACAGTACACAAGAATTCCAAATTATATATGCAGATACTCCCCTTTCCAGGAGGCGGAACTTAATTCTCTGCCTTTCTGGTGTGTGGTTTGGACTTAATGATCTGCTCCCAAAGAATAGAGTATGGGTAATGCTGGGAAATAACTTACCATGGTGAAACCTGGCGAACACTGCCTTGACCATGTGATCAAGGTTAGTATCATCAGTGATAAGTCATATATAGCATGTGATGAGAAGGGACTTCACTTCTGTGGAGTTTTCCCCCCAGTGCATAACCCCGGTGGGATCATGAGAAAATTACCAAAGACATCCAAATTGAGAGACATTGTACGAAATACCTGACTCCTCAAAACAAGATCATAAAAAAGAAGACTGAGAAACTGTCACAGACCAGAGGAGACTAGACATGATGATTAAATGCAATATGGCTCAAAAGGTCATTAGTGGGAAAAATAGTGAAATCCAAATCTGTTGTTAATAGTAATGGACCAGTTTGTTCACTATTTCTAACAAATGTACCATTCCATTTTAAGATGCTAATTTTAGTGGATACTGGCTGAGGAGTATAGGAGAATGCTCTGTACTATCTTTGCGACTTTGCTATAAATATAAAATTACTGCAAAATAAAAATGTTTAGTTTTAAAATTCACGGTTCAGGGTCCACAGCTCTCCATGGGACCAGGGAACATGCTTTAAGGAGCAGCCTTGGGGATTCTAATGTACATGATCAGCAGGTAACATTTTATAAGATTGTAAAGCAAGTTGTTCAACTAAAACCACGTAGTTGGAATACGCAAAAAGCTTTGCAGTGTGTGGTGTTCTTAGGGGTGTGGATGACTGCGGTGTCCTGTCTGGGTGCATCATCCCAAGTCTTTATCCCATTCCCTGTGTCCTCCATGCTCCACTCTACACCCAAGCTGTGGTTGCATTTTAGAAACTGAGTCAGTAATATCCAAGGGTTTTAGATCTAGGTCCAATGATTGTGTTTTAGATAATACCTGTCATTCCAAAGTGTTGCTATTTAAA